TCAGATAGTTTGGTCCACCTACTAGGACCACATCTCAGAATTAAAGAAAACGAAACTCTTACGACAAGTGATGATGGATCAGAGTATTAGTTCATTGCCACTTTTACCACATTTCATTTTACAAGCCAATCCTATTACAATTAAAGCATTCACACCTGTATGTTGGATGGTCCGTCATTCAACAATCCTGAAAGCTATTACTGCTGGGCAGCCTGCCGGGTCCTACAGATTCATGAGTGGCACGTCCTCATGTTCTTGGGGACACACACAGCACAAGGGTGAGTTGGGTCTCTGGACCCTGAGACCAGTCTTCCTGGAGTCACATGCTGGCTCTGAAGCTGCGTGACCTTGGACAAGTGTCTTTAGTTTGTAATATCCCCGCTACCTCATCTGTGATAATAATAATGCCTGTTTCAGTGGGCCTTTAGGAGGATTAAATGAGTTACTATTTATAAAGCCATTTAGAACTGTACATGGTACAAAGGAAGTGATGTGTAGCAAATAAATAGAAAACTACACTCTAGTTCAGGGAACGAACACCACACCAAGCAAACAATTCACCATTTGAAACCCACCCACTCCTGTCAGTGGCAGGCTAAATTATGTGCCAGTGGCATGAAATCTCCCACTGAAAACAACTGCATGGTGAAAAACTTTACTTTTGCTAGCCTCCTGGAGCAAAAGGAACAGAATTTTAAGCTCAAGGTTCACTTCAAGGAGAGTGATAACTAGAGGATTCTTCTCCCATTCAGTGTAGGCCCCGAAGGATAGGGACCTCAAGGTTACCACCACTCAGAGGTAAGGTATGCCTATGCCCCGCCCCCAGGTCTGCATAGACAGGTAGGTTACCTGAGGACAGAAAAGAAAGGGGGTGGGGATGGGCAGAGCAGGAAAGAACAAATGGACTTGTCCACAGAGGCTGTGATGAAGGGCAGCCGCTCTCATGGGTCTGTTGTTTTCATTGTCCAAAAACATCCTCCAGCCATGAACTTGAGGTGGGTGGTCCTGTCTGGTAGTAGTCCTAAACTTTTTAAAATCCCTTTCAGATTAAATTGCCCTTATCTTAGATCTTAGATTTTTCTACAAGTAATTTTTTTTAAAGAAAAATGAGGAGCACACAGTAATATCCAAGAATACCAAGAAACAAGACCAGAAAGGGAGTAGAAACAGGGAGTTAGGGAGAGTCAGCTGGTGTTGACTGAATTTCAGAGAGAGGCTGCGCTGGACAGATCAGCCTGGCTTAAGTCAAGTGTAAAACTGAAATAACTGGGGTGGGGGGAGGAGGCAGAAAACTGTACTTGACCAAAAAAAGTCTAAAAAAACCTGAAACAATTAGTAGTGTCTTGTAACTATAATTGTACTTCTAGACATGCATTCACGTTAAGCTGCCATGGTATAGGATGAGATGTACAAAAAATAGATTCCAATTTCAGGTGCGGGTGCTAAAACTTATACAGTATTAGCCAATGTTAGCTCAATAAAAAATAAATTTTATAAACTAAGTCCAACAACACTGATGTGAATACACAGAAAGGAGAAAAGAAATGTTAAACTAATGGTACATTGGTGACTATAGAGGGAAAGGCCATGGGCAATACATATGTAATTTTCAGAGAATGGTAGAGTCCAGAACGGAAAGGGGTGAAGGAAGGAAGGGGGGAAGAAGGGAGGGAAGGGAAGGGAAGGATGAGAGAAGTAAATATGAAAATAGGGGCAAAAAGAATAAAAGGACTAACACCCACACAATGATCACAGTTATGCAATACTAGGTCCGCAAGTGTTGCAAATGCCAAATATAACCTCTACAGTTTTTATTTTAATTCCTAGTATGAAAACCCTGCTCGCTAGAAATTCATTCCACATTGTCTTTGAGTGTAATCCTTTATTCCACTTGAAGGGTCACCTGAAAAAGAAGCAAAGTGTCTTCGCTCAAAAGAAGAAAGAAAAAGAATTAAAGTGCCTTCACTCAAGCCATCCATACATCTTTGAAAGACAGAAAGTGACAAAAATGAAATATTATTAAGAAATATAAGCACTGCCCAGTATGAGCAAATTCTGTAACATGAAAAGTCACCTACTACCCCCTGGACAGGAGAATCAACTTTAACTGTGTCTGCTCCATAGACGCCCAGCTTGCCAGCCCAGCGTGCAGGGTCAGCCCAGGGCCTCTGCACGCAGCCAGGCAGTGGGGCTCCTAGTTCAACAGAAAGAAAAGACGACTTCGTCTGTCTAACACTGGCCCTCTTTGAGCTGGCTTTTCACTGTGGGGTGTTTTTTTAACAGGGGGGCGGTTACAACTTTTATAGATTAAAAATGTTCTAGATTCAAAAATTAAGAAAAACTCTTAGATTTAAATCTAACTGTTTTGATTGAAATCTCTGCCTTTCAAAGTCAAACTTCTATGTCATCTCAGATAATCTGATGGTTCTCACCTTCTGGACTTACCCCAAATGTTCATCCACGCTCTGTTCACACACTTTCGTCTTCCTGTTGCTTTAACCCCGTGCCTTATTGTACAGATGTGTTCCCTGCCTCTACAAACCTCCTCATCACTTAAACTCTTCACTAACCCCTCCTTCCATAAAGAACTTTTTAGATTGGTCAGAAAAAAAAATGTGACAACATGCCATTTTTTCCCATTTCGGCAATATCATTCTTTTTTTTTTTTTTTTGCTATAACTCAGGCTGTATCAGGAAGGACTTTTTTGGTGATAGTAAGAGGAAACTGTGTTTAAATCTGTCGCTCATAGAACTATGCATCATCTCACTGAACTAGCAGTGTGGAGGGATCTTTCAGGCGCTCGTCGGTGTCAACAAGGACCTGGACACTTCTCGCACTCCCGTGCCATCATCCTCAGCATGCTGGTCTTTATTCCCATGCCTGCTGCCTCCCAGTTGCAGATGGCAGCTGCAGACCCAGACATCACACACTCACCCTGTACTTAGATGTAAGACTCAAGGGTATAGCAAAGGATGTTCTTGCAGAAGGTCCTGCCTTTTATCCAGGGGAGAAACATCTCCAGAAGTCTTCTCTATAGCCCTGGAAGTCAGAACTAGAGCACATGGATGCTCCTAGTTACTGGGAAGGCTATGAAAGTGTCTCCCTTTTAAGCTGCTAGTTAAAGTCTGTTTGTATAAAGTAAGTGAAATAGTGCCCTGCAGTTTCTGCCTCCAAAATCTCTTTTGCCTCCAATTCTCTTCATCTCACTAGTCACACTGCTCTAACACAAGCTGTCCAAATATCCCACCGAACGTCCCCCCATCAGGTGGAAACCGGCTCCTACCTAATCTCCCTACAGGCCCTTCTTGTCCCTTCTACCATCCACTCTTGACAACGCCAATGCTATTTTCAATGTGAATCTTATCATGTCATTCCCTCTTCAGTAAATTACGTGAACACCTCTTACCGTGAGTGACCAGGTCCTGAATGTCCTGGTCACAACACCCCCCCTTTCCAGCTTCATATCCTGCAGAGCTTCAGTTCACTCTGTGCACTCAGGTGCACTTGGGCCTTTTCTTTGCTCCTCAAAAACCCCAAGCCCCTGCACACCTCCAGGCTTCTGCACACGCTCACTGTTCCCTCTGTCTGCAGTGCTCACCCATTCTCTACCTCCCTGGTCCCTTCTGCCTGATTTTTCTTCTGCTTTTGTGTCACCATTTAAATTTTACTGCATGCAAGGCTTATTGGGAAGGTGTTATCATTAGGCTAACAATACATAAATATCAAATTTGTTCGATATAAATAGGAGGGATGGGAGAAATGAATGTTTTTCATTTCAGGAGTTAGTGGGTGATCATTGATTAGGGAAACGTTGACCCCTTTGTTAAATCTCACTAGATGAGGAGCCAGCCATTTGGCAATACTAATTGTTTTTCCTTAAATGTCTTTCTTTCAGCCATTGGGTCAACAATGCAGCCACCCAGCTCCACAGCTTCCTAGGGTGGTGATACCATCCTCCTTGGTGCACTGACTTCTTCTGTACAGAGATGGCACTAGGACGGCTTGGCCCATCCTTTCCTCGTGGCTGGTGGCCTGTCTCTGCTCAGTCCCGGTGTTGGCATCAAATGCTAAAATGAATCTCAACAATATATGAAACTGTATCACTTTCAAATACGCACCGTGGTGCCTGTCATTCAAAGATCCAAAAATGCTAAACTAAGCAGTTAACCGTATATTCATATTTTTATCATATTTCATGCATTGACATACTCTGTGCACATTTCTTTCTGCTAATTCTGTCTTTCACTACTTTTACGCTTCAGGAGGTCCCCAGCACAGAGACGCTCAGCCAATCGGTTGCTCCGTACTCAGCCTTCAGAGAAATTATAGGTGAGCTCAAGGGCTGTCAAAATAGTTCTTTAAAAATAAAACAAAAACAAAAACAAAACCCAGAGCATCCTGGAAGATGAAGCAGACTGCACCTCTCGCTTCATTCGTGAAAATGCCCTAAAGCCTCTTGAACTTTAACGTATTCCCCTGCAGCGCCTCTGGGCTGGATCTGTCCATGCCAGGTGGGATGGCTGTGCTCTGGAAGAGACCTGAGGGAAGTCACATCATCAGGTAGTGTCTTAAAGAGCCCAAGGCAGGCAGCCTTGTCATGACTCTGGGAGCTGGAGTCAGACTTCCTGGGTTCAGACCGAATTCTGCCTCTTCCCAGCTTTGCAACCCTGGGCAACCACTGAAGCTTCCCGGGCTAGGGTCTCCTTGACCATCAAGCGAAGATATTAAATAGTACCTACGTCCTAGGGTTGCTGAGAGTAATAAGTGAGTTAACCCACAGAAGCGCTTGGAACGCGCCTGCTGGCACACTGCGAACTTGTTAATATCACGGCCTTTCAACTAAGAGCGCTTTCGACTGCAACATTCTGCCCCGATATGAAGCGGCTCCAGGGAGTCAACAAAACTTGCGATCGCAGCCTAGTGGCCGTGGCTGGGGACCCGGAGGGGAAGGGGGAACAGAAATCAGGGTAGGGGAGGAGGGAGAGCTGCAGTGACATTTATCCACTGGAGTTATCTACGGCCACCGTCTCCCGGCCTCCGTTTCTCCTTCCAGAAAGAGTTGGACCCGCGCGCAGCGGGAAGCACAGCCGTTCTCCAATCAGACACCGCTTGGCTGGCGCCACGCCTGCGACCTGGTCCAATCTCGTCCCTTAGAGGGCGGAAACGCGAAGTTCCTACCTGCACCTGTAGCAGCGGTGGCCGCCTCCCGGGTTATCCCACCCCTTCGCCGGCTGGGGTTCAGGTTTCTCCTATCACTTGGCGAATGACCAGCAGGTGGGCAGATGTCTTTTCCCGAGTGGCCTGACGCGTAGGAAGAGTCAGAGCATCAAAGTGAGCAGCTGAGATCCCATTTCTTGGCGGCTCCCAGGCGGCACTGGCAAGGAAGAGGGACACTCCCCAGAGTGAACAGCTACTAACTGAGAGTGCAGCCCTGGGTATTCACCTGGGGCAGCAAGACTAGTCCCTCCGGCTGGAGCCCACCACACCACTGCAGCCCGCAGAAGTTGGAGATCTCCAGCAGCAATCGGCTTAGCCAGGCTGCTAGCATACCCTCCAGAAAGAAGCCGACCTCTCCAGCACCGCGCGGAGGGACGTCACACCAGCTTCCAGGTTGTCCCGAGCGCACCCCTTTCGCGTTCTCGCTGGCCAGCGGGGTGCAGATCAGCAGGGTGTTGTGCAGGTGAGCGATCGGGTTGGTTCTACCACAGCCCAGACCGAGCCCTTTCGGGGTGTCGCGGACGCGGGGGGGGGGGGCGGCTTCCCCCTGCCTCCCGCCCCCCGAAGCCGCCCCCCCTCCTCCGTGCCCAAGGAGAATTTGGGAGCTGCAGGCGCCCTGTGTAACTTTGAGTAACTCGCAAACTTTTTGTTGGGAAATTCGTACAAAGCCCTTCCGTGCACGCAAGTTGACTTCAGAGATGTGTAGGGTAGAAGACAGAAAGTAGCATCAGGACACCCTGCCACCACCAGCAGTGAATAACTTGGGGGTGCTTTTTGGAACTGTAGAGGGAGCAGGATGTTTGCACAGCCAAAAGCAAACGGCCTGAGGGTGTGGGTACGGAAAGAACTTTTGGCCATTTTTTTCTATTGTTTTCAAGTCGCTGCAGGAGTGTGCCCTCGGGGCGTCCTGAGAAGGAGGCGGCGCCACAGTCTCTGCTCACAGCGAAGGCCAGGCCTGGCGTCAGCCGCTTCACATAGGCGCTCAGACTTTTTCTCCTGGGTTCTGGGACCACAGCCTCAAACGGCAAAGTCGGCTGAAGTTTCGCAGCGCAGAGGCAAATCCCGGGAACTCTGGGCGCGTGGGGTGGGAAGGAGCCCAGGGGGGGAAAACGGTGGGAATGAGTACGGGGCGAGCGAATCCTGTGCGTTCTTGGAGGTAGGGCCCGACAGACCCAGCTCAGACCGTGGGCAGAGGACTCTGGCTGCTGAGATTATCGGGACCCCAAATGCTGATAACACCCTCGTCGCTCCGTAGAGTGCACTTTTTACAGCTGGGAAGACGCAAATTGGTTTGGAGTTCCTGGGCGCTTTCTCCTTGCAGCAGGGAATTGCGCAAGGGAAAGAACAGAAGCCTTTTTAATTTGTAACTAAAATTACCCAGACTTAGTTGCTTAGTATAAACAGACTTGGGGTATACTTTAATGCAGAACTAAGGGAAGAGAACCTTTGCCGCTTGGCCTCGTTGCAACCACCAACAGGGGTGGCTTCCAAGAGGCGAAAGATTGGTCTCTGAGGGGTAAAAGGAAGAACAGGCAGGCGGGTTCCCAGGGGAGTTAAGTCTAGTTACACTCCTCTGAAAGTCGGGAGACAGAAGTTGTGGCAAAAGCAGAATTTGTGTTTTCATTTGGTAAACGCGGAATTTAAAGGAAACAAACAAAACACCATGAGCTTGTTCCTCACTCTGCCTGGGTTGCGAAGTACCCTGAAGAGTCACATCGAAAAGGATCCCGGGACAGAAATCCATGGAGCAAAAACCTCAGACAGGCATCTGATGTTCATTGGTTATCTACAGCGGGCCGCACTTGCTTCTGGGGCACCTCCTTCCAGGTGCTCATCAAAGGTCCGGTTCCGTTCCGGACCGGGTGAGTCACCTTGGGTCATCGTCCACGATCAGGCGGAGTGTGACAGGACAGGCCATGCTCCCTCTCAGATCCAGTTAATCCAGATGCCTTGGAACATCACCAGGGTGGCCCTCAGGCTCTGACCACCGCTGTTCTGCCTGTAGTTGAGGCCAAAGAGTGCCAAGACTCAGTCTTGTGACCAGACGGTGGCGCCCTGATGGCCACTCATCTGCCTGTGCCCTTGCAGGCACTGTGGTGCCTTTTGAGGTCTGAGCCTCTCTGGGTTCTGGGCTCCGAGCACTAAGACCTCGGGGATACGGTGTCGCCCCAGCGAAAAAGAAGAAATGGAATTGAGGGGTCCGAGGCATGACTTCGACAAACCCAGTAACCACGTTTTGTTTTCTTCCCCAGCGCAGACCGCTGCCTGGGACCCCACCCGGCTGCCTGGTAGGGTGAAGCAGAGAAGGAGCAGAGGGGACGCCGGAGACCACCAAGACAGAGAGACCCCTGCGACCAAGGCCCCTACCCACGTGCGGTCTCCGAGGCCCTTCAGCGGTGGGGCATGGCCGACAGCAGCTCCACAAGCAGCTCTGGCCCTTGGTGGAAATCGCTGGGGAACAGCGGGAAGAAAAGCAAGGGCGCTACAGTGGGGATGCAGCCTCCAGCCCAAGCTGCCCCCGGGGAGTCCGCACCGCCAGCACTGCAGAGCCCGGACTGGACAAACAGCTCCCAGGAGAATCAACACCCCAATCTCCTCTCAAGCACCGGCGAGCCCCACAAGCCAGACAAGTTCTGCGTGGAGAAATCGGGCCACAGCCGCCGCAATTTGAAGATCTCGCGCTCTGGGCGCTTTAAGGAGAAAAGGAAAGTTCGCGCCACTCTGCTCCCGGAGGGAGTCAGGTCCCAGGAGGAGGCCGGCTTCCCTGGTGACCCCCAGGACGACAAACAGTAGCCAGAGCTAACTGTCTCTCTTCCCAGCATGCCTCCTCAACCCCCAGTTCTAAACCCAAGAACTGGGGCCTGTCCCTGCAGGAGGTGTCTCATCCCACCAGATTCAGAATACCCACCCAAGGCCTCTGTGATCCCATTTTCCTGGAAATGGAAGTGTCCCTTGAGTTGATAGTATTTCATGACTCAAGGATGCATGAAATATTTATTCGAGGTAAGAGAAGACACCTGCCACAGAGAAAGCTGGCATAATTATTATCTTCAAAAAGCTCTTCTGTGGCCTCCACTCCTTGCAGCACCTGTGGGAGTGAGAGAGGTGCTTCTCTAAGAGATGGCAGCTCCCCTGGATTGGGGCAGCCCCCCCAGAGGAAGCCAGGCCCTAACATCACAGTGCTGTGTTTAATGCCTGAAAAGTGCACTTTAGAAATACTGCTGTAGACTCCCACCTTGAGGGAGGGCGTGGGAGGGAGCTGGAAACAGTCTAAGTAGAAGCGTGTGAAGTCAGGCAAGATTGCGTTTAATGTTGACCTACAAAACTACCCTGCCTGTTTTAGTGTGGACTATTAAAAGTGTTGCACCGTGAGACTTAAGGTGACTTTTGTACTTTTTCCATGGCAAGACTGAAACCCATCATACTTAAAAGCAGGCCTGCAAAATCCCAGGGAGCAGAATTAATCATTTGCCACACAGGGTACTAACAGCTGCTCTTGGGAAGCTGCAGGGAGGACGTTTCACCGGGAGTGGAACCATTTAGTTGCATATCCCTGTTTACTAACCAAATTCTGGGAAGGGAGGGAGCGGTGCCCTTTCATTATTCCGGCATTCTCTTTTTACTTCACTGCATCCTCATACATAAGTCCCAACTCGAGTAATCATTCTTTGCAGTCTCCTGGTGAACCTTACTAACCATTGTCTGAAAATAAACAGAAGGACTAAACTCGTAGTTTGTGCAAAGCCAGCTTCTTTTCTCATGCCTTTGTTTCAAAAGCTTATTTCTCTAGTCTGACGTATGCATTTATCAAGTTTCAAAGCCTTTAGATCGAACAACCTGAAGATTCTTAACAAAAATCTACCTGTTTGCTTTTGTCACGAAGTTCAAGAAAAAGTAAATGAATACCACTTGCTTTCAGCAAATTACAGAGAGTTATTGTAGTTAAGGGCCACTGGGATCTTTTCCCACCGCTATTCAGTTCATTTATAAACATCCAGAAATGCATAGCAGGAAAATTATAATGATCAAAGCGTATATTTTTTAGATAATTATAAACAAGAACTTGATTGGCGCTTCTAAATTTGTTATAGGTACATAGGCAGTTCTCTGTTCCTCTCAAATTTGTAGTTTATAAAATAGCAAACCACATTGGTTGTCTGAAGAGATTTAACAAAGAAACTTGATGAAAATGGCTAAAATGGATTTAAATTAGTGAATTAAGCTTGGATGCCAGCAGAATAATAGGGTTTATCACTAGAGACATGAGATTCCACATACCAAAGACTTATTCCAAAGAAAATTGCTTATATGGGAGTTACACTTTACATTAAAAAAGAGACCAGGGAGCCCATTAAAAAAACACACAAAAAGACTTTTTTGATGTATATTTAGAACTGAAAAGTATGTGACCAAAGTCCAGATGAGAAAGACTTTCCATCAGTTTTAAGTAGGCCTACTGTCTCCTGACTCTAATGAAGTACTAGGGAAGGGAGTCACTGTGAGGCCCTGGGAACACAGAGCAGAAACGGCCAAATTAGAACATCTTTATCAAGTATTTTAAATTCATTCTGTAGTGAGTAATAAAATTTAGAGTAAACAACTATTCAAAATACTTTTCCTGCAATAGATTAGGTCTGTACCCATGTATAAAATGCAGCCTGCAATTGCATGATTTTAAAATCTTAACTCTTTATAGATTTAAAAATCTTTTTTCTTTAAAATTCCTTTAGGTCCACAAAACACTGGCATTTTCCCCAGTTCTGTATCCCATTTGGGAGCCCATTCGGGACTCTAGTTGCTGCAGGTAATAGCAGACACACAGCAGTGGAACTTATTTACAAGGCATTTTCACCCCCCCTGTTCTGAAAGAATTTAAAACCATGCAAATGGCATTTATGAGAGTGAGTACAATTCACAGTCCTCAATTGAGGTTTGTAATTACATAGTTTCCAAGCAGCCCCAGTCGTGCAGTAGGAGTGCATTGATTTCATCTCCACTGGGCTAACTCAGAAAGCAAGCAGTCGCCCCTGCCGCTATGGCTCGGACCAGTGTCATACTGTAACTGAAGGGTCACGTGTTTGTTCCCTGGTCAGGAGACAGACCTGGGCTGCAGGTTCGGTCCTTGAGCCAGCCCGGGGAATGTGCAGGAGGCAGCCAATCCATGCTTCTCTATCCCATTGGTTTCACTCTCCCGCTTCCTCTCTAAAAGCCATGGGGGGAAAAAAGTGTACTGGGGTGAGAATAAAAAAATATAAAAGGAAACCAAACAAAACTGGTGAGATAAAAGGGTCATGAGTAGGATGAAATAATTTGACCAAGTGTCTTGCTGGGATTTAGGTGAGGTAGAGATGATTAATCACATCCCCATAAGATGTATACAGATTTAAGATTTTTTAATCTCAAGATCATTTCTAGTGAGTAAAGGGAAAGTGTTGAATTAAATTTGGAGTTAATTAGATCAGAGACTTCTTTCTTCTTTGAACCCCCTTACCAGTGAGATTCCATCTAATGGTTAAATTTCATTTAATGGTTTGGGAAACCATTACAGAATTTTAATGCCATGTTTTTAAGTGATACTTTTTAAAAGGGACAGAAATCTAGTGGTGCGTTTACTAAATTCTTTCCTAACCTCACAGTGACTGTGAGGGTTACATGCACAGGCAGTCTTTGCCTCACTGACTCTCCTTGCAAAGTCGGTGGCGAAGCAGTGACTCATATTTTACAGGTCACCTGAAAAGTCCTTTTGTGTCACTACTGCTATTGTTCACCCCATTTTGATGTGCATTTCAAGAGCAAAGACTCTATTTTGCATACACAGGTAAGGGATTCTGCTTCAGTACAGCACGTGGAAGTCTTTCTTTCTGCTGTGAACATAACATGAGCTCGTCAACGCTGGTCTTGCCAAGTCGTTAGGTGGGAAATTGAACCAGGAAGAGTGGTAGCATTGATTAAAGCTTTGTCAGAAATAGTCCTTCTGAGATGGTCAGAAGAGAATTTGGGTACCCTGAAACAAATAAATAATTAAAACGAACAGGGAGAACTTCAAATAGAAGTTGGATTGAAAAGTAGAAGAATGGAATACTAACCGTTCAGTGTCCACAAGGGACTTTTTATTAAGAGAGAGGGAGAATATTATTTTTCTGTACATGAAAAGTGTCAGCCAGACTGGAAGCAAACACAAAAATCCAGCTCGATAACTCTAGTAACAGAAACTGATCTTCAAAAAGTTTGTTCTATTTGTGGAGCATTTTATTATAATTATACAAAAAATTAAGGAGATTCTTTCTCGGGATAAGCTTGATTTTACCTCCATGGCAAGTAGAAAGTGGGACCAAGATATTTTATACCCTCAGGCATCAGCCTACAAGTATCTTAGATTAGAAACAAGTACGCAGCCCAGGGCAAACTTTGTCATCCCTGAGCTGGCTATCCAATGATAGTATTGTCCTTCTCACCTGTTCTTCACACTCCCTTGCTCCACTGTCACTGTGAATCTACATTCCCATTAAGCTCAGAGACGTGGAAAAGGGGGCACCGGGGAGGCACAGAGGCATTCCCCAACCCCTGCAGGTACTGAATATTGACAACCACTTTGTCCTCGATGGACTTACAGATATGGAATGTGAGATAAATAACATTAATAGTGAGAGAACATTATGACCAAGGAGCTATGATGTAAGGAAAGGAATAGACCTTGCCATCTCTATGGAAATGGCCATGGCTATAGACCAGGACAAGCAAGACTGACTCAGGATGTGAGTGATTCCTCAAGTATTCACAGCAAGGAACTTAGTGTTGCGTCCAAATCAAATCGTGATGCCAGTGACGTAATGGGTGGTCTCAGAATTATCACAGCTACTGATACAACCTCCTGCAATAAAAAGATTTATGAATGAGGTGTGTAACAAGATTGTTCACCCATGAGACAAAAATTTCTGGCCCTAAAATGAGGAGGGTTCTTGCTGAAGAAGCAGAAGGGCCCTGGTCCAGGCAGGGGCTGGTCGAGTAGGGATTGCAGGAGCATCCTGCAGGGATTACAGGAACAGTGCAGGGATTACTGGGCCTTTTTCGAAGAGATTTTCCTGGGGTTACAAGTACCCTGGATTATTCATTTCTTTCTAGTGCTAGTAAACAAGTGTATCTGCTGATTCATACCCCACACTGATGTTTTCCATGACGCTTGCTCACAGTTCTCTCTCTGACCTCCTTTTGAACAAAGTTTTAGCTGATCTGGGGAGCCCATTTCTTCTGGAAAAGGATGGCATGGAGTCTATGTTCCAGCTTCAAAATTGTCCACCAGTTGTCTGCTGTTTTGAGCAACTGGTTGTGAAAGTGAGTTCATGTAATGTTCCTTGTTTACAGTAAAACACAAAGTTGTATGAGCCCAGGACTGATGGTCAGGGAGGGGGACTGGAGGGCGGCCGAGAAGCATAAAGTACAGTAGGGCCACCTCCTTATGACATGGTGGTTGCCAACGCCCACACACTGCCATCTAGCCCAACAGTCAGGGTGAGTCTGCGGTCTGGAAGCATCGAGCCTCACTGTTCATGTTTAGAATCAAGTTGCAGTACAGGTACCTCATTATAGTATATTGGTGTTCAAAAAGTGCTTTCACAACTATTATCTCAGTTGTTCTTCATATCTATCCCTCAAATCCTCCAAATCCTGCCATGCCACCTGATTCTCTACTCTTCTTTACACTCAATTTTCCATTCTGACAGGTGTGGCTCAGTTGACTGGGCAAAGTGAAAAGTTGCTGGTTCAACTCCCGGTCAGGGCACATGCCTGGGCTGCTCACAGGTTCAGTCACTGTGAGAGGCAGCCAAAGATTATTTCTCTTCCTCTCTTTCTCCCTCCCTTTCCATAAAAATAAATAAATAAAATCTTTAAACTCAACTTTTCCATTCTCATCGGTGTTGTCATAAGTCAGGAATTCATCTCCTCCAGACACAGGGTCCTGGAGACATCATTTCTTAACTCTTCTGCAAACTCTGTTTGAAACAGTGCAGGGTAAGGCCACACCCTTCCTCAGTGGCTTCCATGTGATTGTCCAGCCATCCATATAATTGACAATTCCCTGAAAGTGGCTATGCCTCGGAAGGCTTCTGTCTGCCTGTCCTGTTGCCTCTGCTTGGCATATGTTTCCTGCCACCTGCCTGGCAAAGCCTCAACCAACCTCTGAGAGTCAACAGTCTCCTCCCATGTAACTGTCATGGTCCTCCTTCCCCAGGCAGAGCCAATGACTCTGTTGGGAAACATCTATGAGCAGTATCTTTAAGCCTGCGTTCACCACCACTAACTGTATTATGTCTATGATCCCATGTCTTTCTGCCCTTTGAGTTAGGGAACTTGGGAAAGGTCAAGAGGCAATGTTCATTC